TGCTCAGTTTAGATGAGGGATTGTTTGTGTGTGTGTGTGTGTGTGTGTGTGTGTGTGTGTGTGTGTGTGTGTGTGTGTGTGTGTGTGTGTGTGTGTGTGTGTGTGTGTGTGTGTGTGTGTGTGTGTGTGAGTGTGTGTGTGTGTGTGTTTCTGAAAATAATTCTATGAAAATGTTGGTCTATTTTGCTCGCTCACATTGCTATTCTTAAGGTGAATTATTAATCCAATCAAATTATTCATTCACTCACTCATGTTCCTTCAGCTTAGTCCCAATATTAATCTGGGGTCGCTACAGCAGAATGAACCACCAACTTATCCAGCATATGTTTTACAAAGCAAATGCCCTTCCAGCTGGAACCCATGTACTGGGAAAAATCCATATACAGTACACTCATTCTCACACATACACTACGGACAATTGAGTTTATTTCATCACCTATAGCGCATATGTTTGGACTAGGGCTGTGTGATTAATCGAAATCAATTACAATCATGTTTTGAAACGTTTCGATTAGCTAAGCGCAAGAGGGTGCGATATGAAATATATATGTATTATTTAATTTCTCCCGCCCAGAACAAATGTGTGACTGCTCTCTCTGTGTGTGACAGTCTTGCTAGCCAATTGAGTGAGCACACTTTTGTTCTGCCCAATCAGAACTGCACTATGCAGAACACTCCCAATAAAAAACGAATACAAACAGTAAAGTGCAGACGAGTTGGATGATGGAATTTGCCACTTCAGAAGCATTAATAGACAAATTAATATCAAAAACAAACAGGAGATTAGTAATATGGGAATACACTTAACAAAAACAGGTCATTTGTAAGAGCTGTCGCTGAATTGTTGATTTAGTAGCAAGCAACAGCAAAGTACAAGTTCATAGTTGTTTCTGCCATGTTAGTTTGCTGTGTGTTTTTTTTTTTTTTTTGTATTTTTAAAACTTATTTTTTTCTGCCTGGGGATGGAAAGTATATGACCAAAATCCATCTTTTTTTTAACTCTAACTGTAGTCTGTAAAGACTTTTGTTGATGGTATATGTAGACCACGTATGTGCAACTTTGTGTTGGTTGGGATGAACACTGTGTACACTGTTTTTGTGGAAAAAATCAAATCAAATATATTTGGTACAGTGTATTTATGTTTTGTACAAAAAAGTTCAGAAATATTTGACTACACTTATGTCGGCTTGTGTACGGTTTGTAGTAAGTGTAACACTGAACAAAAACAGGGTTACAGTAAGTCATTATAATAAATGAAGAAGAAGTGGTCAGTGTTTTACATTAGTGATCAACTGGTTCTTATAAATGTCTAGTCATGTGATGATTTGTGTGTGTCATTTGAAAACAAAATACCATTTTGAGAAAAAATCACATTGTTTTGAATGTAAAGTATCATTTTGCAGGAGAACTGAAGGGTTTTGCCTGATGTGTGTGTGTTTTTTGATTTGTGTGTAGAGTTCTGACAATGAGACATGCTTTCAGAAAATGTATGTAAACAATTGGGAACAACTGTAAATATAATATATTTTCCGTTCCTTATTTACCAGTAAGAAGCTATGATACAGATTATTGAGCTGATGCTTGACTACAAAATTAAATCATGAATCAAAATCTGTAAAAAAAAAAACATAAACAATAATTAAAAATAAATATCACAATAAGATATTTTCCTCAAATCACACAGCCCTAGTTTGGACCATGGGGGAAACCGGAGCACCCGGAGGAAACCCACACCAACACGGGGAGAACATGCAATGCTAACTGAACTGATTCAAACCAGCGACCTTCTTGCTGTAAGGCAACCACTGAGCCACCGTGTCACCTCAAGCTATTCAACTAAAAGAAGAAATGCTGTGGTAATTCTTAATCAAAGTCTGAATATTTGCTTCTGCGTTTGAAATGGCAGTCATTCTGTTTACATCAACTTGAGGGCTTCCATAGTAACTGCATAGTAATATTCTTAACCACACCCCTCTTACCATTAGTCTGCTACAACAGAAGTAAGCCCCGCCCCTACTCAGTATTCTGTTTCAGTTGGAAGTACATACTGAAATAACAGTCTCAGCAACGTATGGTTCATGGAGACTTTTAAGTGCAGTTATACTGGGCAATAAACTCCCACTGAAATTGAACAACCCTGGTGTTCAGATCTTTATTCTGGCATCTAGTGTTCATTGTAATATTCGAGCAGCAGCAGGACCCTTAAGACATGAATTACGTCAGCATGGAGTGTATTTGCAGCATTAAGATCAGGTCAAGCATTCGAATGCGATGTTCAAAGTCAACCATTTAAACTTAGTCTCCATTTGACCTTCAAAAGTGCATCAACTTATGATTAACTGACAATGCACGTGACATTATTACACATTATGCGCAATGCACTGACTATGCAGAAACCCACAAGAATCGCTGTCTTTATGACACAATCACATTCTTGTATGACAGAATGCCGGAAGCTTATCTTGACATTTAAAAAAATGCACGCCAAAAACCCTTTATTTGCTTTCACTGAATATTTCCACACAATGCTGTTCATGTGGAGGCCACAGAAACATTTGATGAAGGCACGCCTGAGCAAAACTCACATTTGACTATTTCAGGTGAGTCACAGAACAGTCTACAATTCAGTGAATTCCACTTGAGTAAGTGTTCATACAATAACTGTATTACGATGTATTTACATTTGAGTTGTTTTTACACTGCGCAGTATGGTACGGTTTGGTTCTGTTTGCATTTGCACTGCAGTTTGGTACTGTTAAGAGTATTTGTAATTATCCCTGTAGTTTTGCCGCCTCTACTTTTGAGCTTTACTTTAAAGAACAAAATCAATTTGTGTCATCCCAACCAGCTCTCGCTTGATCTGCTCCTCATCTACTAATGAGAAGAATGTATGGACCACTTTCACTGCCATTTCGGGTTTTTTTTCTTGCAATTGTATAAAAACTTGATTGCGTTTCTTTCCTCAGTTTGACACCAAAAATAATATGGTGAATAATGTTGAACTGCATAAATAAATAAATAAACCTGCATATTTCTCCCTGCTCTGGATGTCAATGGCTACTGGTTTCCAACATTCCTCAAAATATCTTATGTTGTGTTTAATCGAAAGAGAAAACTTGTAAAACTTTCAAATCATTTGAAAGAGATTAAAATTATGACAGAATTAACATTTTTGGATAAACTATTACTTGAAACCTTAGCAGAAACTACAGTAACCTATCACAGAAAGGCCTGTACACTAATTCTGTAATTCTGGGTTGCTTTAAACAAAATCTGGTTCAAACACACCCAACCATTGAGTTAACATTCAATTAAAAAAACAATCAATTGAATTTAAGTGTGTCCAAAAGTAACGCAAATGGTAACAGTTTATAATAACGACAATCTATAAAACACTATTAAACTGTTAATAGTAAACAGGCATTAAAAACCACTAACTACTCTTAAATACAAACGTTTTGGAAATACGGTGGGCCCTTGTTAATCGTGGGAGTTACGTTTTAAAAGTAACCAGCAATAGGTGTAATCCGCAAAGTAATCAGCTTTATTTTTTACAATTATTTAAAATGTTTTAAGGCTGTAAAACCCCTCACTACACACCTCCCAGCAAACAATTTTGTGTTTAAAAGATGTCTAATAGACATCTAAACATAATCATCCTGGCTAAAACAAGGCTAAACTTTGGCTGTCAGTGAAAATCTAATAGAGATCTAAGAATAGCCCAAAACTAGACTAGTCGTCAAAAAGACAGATTAGACAGACTTTATATGTGCAGTCATTCGTTTCTGTTTATTTGATGACTACTCTAGTTTTGGCCTATTCTTAGATGTCTATTAGATTCTCACTGACAGCCCAAATTTGGCCTTGTTTTAGCCAAGACGACTATGTTTAGACATCTAATAGACATCTTTTAAAAACAAATCATGCTTGCTGGGTTAAACACTTTTCTCAGACAGACATTAACATTTTTCCTGCAGTCACTGATCCACAAAGCTAAAGCGGACTCCATCCTCACGATGGTCTTGTTGCGGACAGTTACTACCCTTTTTGCTTCTTCATTGAAACTTATAGCTTATTTTAATCTCTTTCAAGTGATTTAAAAGTTTTCCGAGTTATTTTCCTCCTCCTTTATGTAACAAACCGAAGATTGATTTATTCTGGAATAAAGTTGCACAACTTCTACCTTCGTTTAGCATGTCCAGAAGTCCAGCTTTTCTGTGTAATAGTTAGCATCTTAGTAGTAGTGAAAGCATCATCATTAGCATCATCATTAGTAGTGAAAAATTAATCAGTAACAAAGCACTTCTCTGCACTTCTCGTAGAGCAGGGGTGTAACTCCGTTGTCCTGGCCAAAGTCCCTCAATTGGCTCTTACAATCATGTCGTCCCAATCATCCCTATCCACTGAATTGGCTCTATCACTGTCTCTCCACACCTAAAATAGCTGGTATGTGGTGAGCGCACTGGTGCTGTTGTCTCGTGGCTGCCGTCGCATCATCAAAGAGGATGCTGCACACTGGTGGTGGTGTGGAGAGACCCCCCTTATGATTGTAAAGCACTTTGGGTGTATTGCCATACACAATAAATGTGCAATATTAATACACATTACATTACAACAAAGCATGAAAATACAATTATTAAGCACATTATAAAGTTTATAAATGCTTTAGCATTTGCATTTATAAACTGCTTATTACTGTCTCATAATGTAGACTTAATACTCAGTAATAAGTATGTAATAATAAGTAGTAAGTAATAATTTGCTAATGCTTATAAAATGACTTCTAGTGTGTAGCTACCATACAAATTTGCTTTGAAACGCCATTGGGTTTTTTAGTGTATTCAGTCCTTCCAGAGAGATCTGTCTGGGTCATTAGCAGAGAGAACTGTTAAATGATGGAGTGGACAAGACATGATGCACATGATGAGTGAGTGTGAGTGTATGTGTTTGGCTAGGGGAGCAGTGGCCACTCAGAACACAGGCGGTAAAGAGTGTTTACCTGGCCCTGCGTTCTGTGGATACGCCATGTAGCCGCTTCTTCCCCGGGTCGCCCTACCTGAGCCTCGTGCTGCCGCCACTGCTGCCGCCGCCACCGGTCCGTACGCAGTCGCTGGAAAACCTGCGCAGAAAAAAGAGAGAGAAATGATTCACTACTGCTCTTCATCAAATTTACAGCCACATCAACACACAGAGCGTCAGGGAACAACTCTATTCACACTAACACACACACACACGGCAGAGAAGCAGCATCACCATTCATATAATTACATATAAATCAAAGGAACTCAAATATAATTACTCAAATAAAATGGTTTAGAGTGGCGCTAGCAGGACTGATCTGGAGCCGCTCTCTCTCTGTTTTTCAGCAGTGTTTTAATTACAGACAGCACAGGAACACGTTGCCCATGGAGGGACTGTCAGCTATTTCTTTCACACCGTCTTGGAAAAATGCAACATATTAAAAGTTAATTTGCACTCACTTTAGACTGCTTCCCAAGCTTTCACAATATCGCTCTAATGTGATGCAAGCAGCGCAGAATTATGGGTATTTATACATATAAAAAACAAAACACGTTACTCTACAGGGAAAACAAATGTACTTGTTTGCCTGAACAGCACTAGAGGATCTAGAAAGCGAATGATTTAACACACCCTCATGTGTTAAGAGAGTTGACGGAGACGCATCACAGCTCAATCCATCAGTGGGATCATTTGTACAGTGGACATGGAGCACGAGCGGACAGAGGAGAACTGAAAGCAGAGGATTGTGGGATTAATTGCTTGCAACGAAGTGCCTATTATCTCACCGAGATGCACCAGAGGACATGTTCTCTTTAAAGTCCATAATGGCAGGTAGTAATGACTGTGTGTGTGTGTGTGTGTGTGTGTGTGTGTGTGTGTGTGTGTGTGTGTGTGTGTGTGTGTGTGCGCGCGCGCGCATCTCAACTAAACGTGCCTTTTTCATGAAATAAAGGCGAATCTGATTTCTGCTCAAAACTGAGGACAAACTCTGTTGAGTGACATTGTGATTCGCAGCATGCAATTTTTGTTTGTGGTAAACCGAGCGACGGCTGAGGAATCTACATATTTAACGACAGTTCTGAGTTCAGTGTTCAAACAATGTAATCAAACATAATCATCATCATTGTAGAAGCCAACTAAAGAAATGCGGCAGGCCAGAGTAGTTATGGCTCTATTGTTTCATAACAAACGTAATTACAGCCCCGGCGCTTTAATGAAGGCGTGTATCTGCGTCTGACAGCTGCTCATCAGAGCTCTACAGACCTGCTAGAGAGTCTCCAGCCCCTCTACAACATGTCATTACACCACATGCACTACTCTCAAGGTGTAGTAGGAAAAGAGTTGAGAAAACCAGTGGTTGCGAGTACAAAACCTCGATGGCTGATCCACTCACTATCACCATTATACCGTTGAGCAGGGCTTGAAAGCATCTGATTACTATGAAGGGACTGTGTCTAGTGCAGGGGTCACCAACCCTGTTCCTGGAGAGCTACCTTCCTGCAGATTTCAGTTGCAACCCTGACCAAACACACCTGTTTGTAATTATCAAGTGCTGTTTTAGATACTATTAATCGGTTCAGGTGTGTTTGATCAGGGTTGGGACTGAATTCTGAAGGAAGGTAACTCTCCAGGAACAGGGTTGGTGACCCCTGGGTGTCTACATTACATTGCACACTAGGTAAGATGTGGCAACTCCAGGAGATTTATCACTTCTAATATCTGAATCCAAATTTGAAAGGGATAGTTCACACAAAAACGTAATTATCTGTCTACTCAACAAAAGCAGTAAAAATAAATGTAATCAAATGTGATGAGGGAGGAACATGCTATCATGTGTATAATCAATAGAGCGCAACATCTTCCACTCGTGTAAAAATTAAAACAGTCCAGATTAAGGATAGTAAGAGCTAATCCAAACCCCTCTGTGGTCTCTCTGGTTTAAATTACGCATGTCATTTCCTGTTTCTCTCCTCAGCTCATTAATCTCTTCACAAAACACAAATCAGTATGCTAATGCTAATGCTAATGGCAGTCACGGGTCCCTGCCTGCGCTGTTGCTGAGCACAAGTGTCCTTCAGCGAAGTCATTGGTGCTGCGTCTCAGCATCTTCTGTCCCCTGGCGGCTTCTCTCCCTGCACCAAAGTTAGCGCTGGAACAAAGTTCTTGCGAGAGATTAACTCTGGCGGATTAGGTGGGTTAATTATTAGATCTCGGAGGCTCATTGTTTTGTGTTTCCGCCGTGAGAGGCTGCTTGAGAGAAGCGCTGCAGCATTAAATCAATTTCATGGGCTTTTCATTACAGAGCAGATAACGCCAACATTTAGCATTCAGTTTTATGGCGTTACTTGAATGTGCTTCAGCGAATGGGCTGATGGGAGAAAAACACCCTGCTGAGAGGCCACAAGGACACAGTGCTCTCCCTGCGTCTGCTAGCAGCCCCTGGGCACTGTAAAACCACACACACACATACATACACACAGACCCCAAGGGAGCACAGAAGGGTCTACAACACTGAAAGAGGAGAAGCGTGGACAAGAACACTGCAAAAACTCCTTAACGTCAACAGCTAACATCTTATTTCTAGGCAAAGAAATTGTATTGATCTGGTTTTAAGAATACAATACTGTGCCAGATCAGAGAGTGTCTTCAACATTATCAATTTATTTTTCTTACCTAGAAAAGTTAGGTATTTTAACAGCACATTTATCTTAATTACAATCAGACATAGTTTAAGATTAGCTTTGTATATTTAAGACTTTAAATTAGCTATAATAACTAGTTTTCACTGGCCACTTTATTAGGTACTTACAGTACTAGCAACAAGCTTCACGCATTATCCTGCTGGAAGTAGCCATCAGAAGATGGGTACACTGTGGTCATAAAGGGATTGACATGGTCAGCAACAATACTCAGGTAGGCTGTGGGGTTAACACGATGCTCAGTTGGTACTAATGGGCCTAAAGTGTGTCAAGAAAATATCCCCCACACCATTATACCACCACTAGTAGTCTGAACCGTTGATACAAGGCAGGAGGGATCCATGCTTTTATGTTGTTGCCGCCAAATTCTGACCCATCCGAATGTCGCAGCAGATATTGAGACTCATCAGACCAGGCAACTTTTTCCCAATCTTCTATTGTCCAATTTTGGTGAGCCTGTGCGAATTGTAGCCTCAGTTTCCTGTTCTTAGCTGGCAGGAGTGGCACCCGGTGTGGTCTTCTGCTGCTGTAGCCCATCCGCCTCAAGGTTGAATGTGTTGTATGTTCAGAGATGCTCTTCTGCAAACCTCAGTTGTAACGAGTGTTTATTTTAGTTACTGTTGCTTTTCTATCAACTCAAACTAGTCTGGCCATTCTCCTCTGACCTCTGGCATCAATAAGGCATTAGATAGAATATAAGAGGATTCTCCTGTTCAGTAAATCTAGTTTTGAGGCCTTTTCACACAAAATAAGAAAAGCAAACAGTTTTTTGCTGCAATGAACAATATAGTCCTAAAACAATTAGAATACTTTGCTTGGAAAAAGTTTTATAATACTTATTTTAAGATCTTATCGCACTGGCCAAGGGCATAGATTCACTTTTGACATTGGTGGGGACATACTTCCCTAGAGCGCACGCAAACAGCGCATTTAAAAACATGATTAAAGTACTGAATAATATAAACTTTACACATAATAATACAAAAAACAACGCCGTGCTGCAAAAGTCAAGTTACAAGATTTTACTGCAGTCGGGCTTTGAGGAGGTATGAATGTAGAGAAATTTAGCGAGGTGCGTGACGCAATTTAACTGTTTTATCGCGCTCACTGTTTTTCATAATTATAGAGTCCAAAATTTGTTTTAATTAATTGCACAGTCTTAATTAATAATTATAATATTAGGGTGAACTAGTAGCGAACTTGACTAGGTGCACATGTAAGTTAAGAGTTGACGAGGACTACTTTATTTTAAAGTCGATTAAATTATTGGTAGGGACATTTCAGTAATTGGTGGGGACAGTTCCACACCAATATTTGACATGTCCCCATTCAATATTTTGACCACTGATATTTGACTTTTGAATTTGTCTGCAATTTCTTAAAATCATTTTCACTTTTCTCGTATTTAGATTTTTTTTTGTTTGTTTGTTTGTTTTTGCAGTGAACAGGACGAGGATGAATGTGTGAATTGTAGGCCTGTCATAATAATCAATATATCGATGGCAAAACACAAGGACATGACCTCAGTCATTTTTGGTGATGCAATATATTTTGCCCATACATAAAAACCAATTCTAGCAACATTTTTGCTGATTGTGCAACATCTCTATCTCTATTGGAGGAGTCAGTATGGTAAAAAAAAGAGAATGCGATAGCATTTACTACAAATTACTATAGTATATTTTCATGTGGGTGTCTGACAACTGAAAACCAATCTGGTAGAAAATATCGCAGCCTCTTACTTTTTACCCTGCACTTTTTATTAACATTTAATATTATTAATTTAGGATACGCGTTTTTACATTTTGACTCCAAAGCCAAATTAATAAATGGGCAAATGACTACAATTTAAGTAAATACTCTTAAGAATAAAGTATGATGTGTTCATTGGAAGAACGTACTTGCATTGTAATGATATGATATTGCCATTTTGGCATTAAATAATAGTCTTAAAAATGACAATAATATCATTTATCACAATATTTTTTTGGTGTAATATGTCATACAACAAAAACAGATCGTGAATCGTGCACAAGGCCTAAAGAACATGCACTGTTACAGTAGATTTAAATTCAATTAGATTTGTCCTAAATCTGTGCCTTACGATTAAGCAGTGGCCTTGTTTTAATAGATGCTCTACAGAGTGAAAGATTTCCTTTTCAAAAGACTCTACTTTAGCAAACAGCTGCTGAAAATGTCCTGAAATGAGGCTATAAATACATCTGACGGGAGCCCACACACACACATGGTTTGTGTCCCATCAACAACATGGAGCTATGAAATGACAAAATCTGTGCCTTCATCTTTCCTTCATTGCCCACTTTGAAAGGAAAATAAGAACAATGAAAGCTGTCATAACATGCGCTGGGAAAAGCCGCAGCCGTGGCTCTCTTTTCAT